AAATGGTTTAGCACATGATATTACAACAATTACCTTCATCTTTCATTTTAGGTGAAAAGGAAGAGCTTATGAAGGAAAGAATACGTCTAGAAAAGGCAAAGAAAAAGGGAAAGCAACCAGAAAAAAGTGCAGGAAAGAAGCGCAAGCATCCAGATGATAGCAACACAGAGTTGCAGCAGTGTGAGAAGTCCAACAAACGAAATGATGACAAGGAAAATGAGCAGAAATCCAAAGAAAAGGAAGCAAAAAAGAAGAAGAAAGAAGAAGAAAAACAAAGGCAGCTACTGTTACTGCAGACAAGAAAGTCACAAGCTGCTGCACGATGGGCAAGTAGCAGTCACCAAATGGAAAAAGAGGTGACCATTCTTGGTGAGGTGAACCCTACTCCTGCCGCTGGATTCACACCTTTACCAATTCGTGGCAGGAATTCAACTACACAAGCCAGAGTCTTCCCTCCAGGTAAAGAACAAGATGAGCACTTTGATAATTCAGCTCTAACCCCAACTGGTGGACAGAAAACCTGCTCAAGCTTGCCTCCATCTAAACAAAAGATAGGAACACCCCAACTCAACAGTCCTTGCTCTACCTCAACAAATTCTCCAACCTTGTCTATTGCTTCTACATCTAAAGAATCAACTCAACCTCCAGAGGAGACTCCCAGAAGGTCCAGCAACAAAAAAAGGAGTGACTGTGACCCCAGGCGGGGTTTACATTTTCAAAGCTCTGTGGTAGACAGCAGCAGTGAAGAGGAAGGTACCGAATATTGCACAGAAGACAACCCTGCTGTTGCCCATGGAAATTGCTGTAAAGAACAACAACTGGAAAATAAAGCTTTAAGGGAGAGAATTCAGAAACTGCACAGGAGGCTTAATATAGCATGTACGTAATCTTGAGTATTCTCTTTGTAATCAATAATTGTTATTACTAAAACAGTCCAAGTGTTTTATCTTCATCTACAATTTGTTTTATTATTTGTTTACATTGGCCCTAGTCTGAAGAGCCCCACTGTGAAGTGGTTAATTTTGTTTACATTTCTAGTGTAATCCCTCAATCCTGATATTAATTGCAAGCCTTGCTAGCAGGCATTTCAAAACAAGCTGTGACCATCAGAGTTCTATCAAGTACTTGATTACATGTGTCCAGTTATTTTAGTCCAAGCAATCAGCTCACAAACAAGTTCACTCGCCACAACAGCCAATTCTTTCAGTTGCTGAAGGCATTAGTTTTTTACATGTGTATCATGAGTGGAAGATTGTTTTTTATAATTGTCTACCTCTTTAACATTTTGAAATCATTGGCTTTCCACTTGGTACAACTGTGGCTATTCAGTGGCAGATATTTTACATAGTTCCCTTTTAACCTACTTGTACATAAACACTAAAATTCTCAATCATTTGATTTACAGTGAAAGCAAAGACCACAGAGGAGATAATGAGCAACAGGCCTTCCCCAGGTGTTCTTGATCCTTCCTTAGCCTTAGAATACAAGGTGATGTGTTATATTTTGACCCTTGGAGTTCTAATAATTTCACCATTAATGATTGATGGTATAGTAGGACTCTGTAAAGTATAATCCAGGGAGTAATCAAAGCAAGTAATTTTAAATTAGCTGAGTGTGATGATGTGCAGCCAATTTGAAATTATGAGAAGGATTACCCCTGACTTATATGACACAAAGTCCTTTAACTGCTATAAGTTAATCATTTAAATAACAAAGTAAAGGCTATGAAGTCTGAAAACTTTTTTGCATGAAAGCCAGCGTACAAACAGAAGAAAGAATAAAAAGAACAAGAAAAGCTTATGTTTGTCACTGTATTTTTGTTTTTGATAACAGATGGTAGAACTTATCGAAGGATCTGGGGTGTTTTGGTATACTCAACAACGTGCCTACTGTTCAGCAGTAAAAAATTGGTCCGGCTATGTCAATGCTGTTGTCGACATTTTCTTCAGCAAAGAAAAACTGGCATCCTCTTGTGCCATGGGCAACCAGAAAAAAAGCAAGACTGGTGACAGCCACCAACCACTTAACCCGTTGATTGTCCATGCGATCATTGGTAGGTTTAATTATACTTTTCTAACCATTAACTATTTCTACAAAGTTGCCATAATTTTGAGGGTAATCAAGGGCATAAGATGGAATTCCTCAGTAATTTAATTTTTATGTATTAATAGGGGTGAATTTAACTAGCTCATGTATTACAGTGTACATTAATAGAAAATAAAGAATAAATATGTGGAATGCTTGTGTCTGCAGAAAAAGAAAAGTAATGCTATGTGCCTGGACAATTTTTGAATTTGAATTGTCTTAAATTGCTTACATTCAAAAGCCCATACCTGAATACCTGCTTTTAAATGGACACTAAGACACCCAGGTTATAAAAGTATTGTAGACCATATACATTATTAAATATTGTTTGGTAAATACAAATGAAACAACGATTAACATTTAATTCTTGATTCTCTCTTTAGGCAAAGTGTGTTCGAAATTTACCCATGACAAAGTTAGCGCCAGCCAAGTTGTTCAAAAAATAAATATGAAATGTGTTGAGGCTAGGCGCCCACAGCGAATAAGAGTTGTCTCTTCCAGAGTAGAATAAAACTATTGTAGTTAAACCAAAAATCAATATAGACACTTAGGTTATACTGTTACAGTTACTGTAAAAGGGGTACAAGACTTGCATGTACAGTTTTACTTTGTAAGTATTTAAATTTTAGTTTCCAGTTTATAAATGTCTACAGGGTTTGAATAAATGGACTTTATAATTATCACAAAGTGGTTGTTTTCTTTCACTAGCTTTTACCTTTGTGGAAATGTTGCAGCAATTGCATACCCCCAGGAAGTAGCCTGTTCACAGGCTACCAAATAACAAGCTGTGGTATGGGTTTGCTATGGGTACAGCTTGTGTTTCCCATTGTAGTCCCATAGTTTTTCCATAGCTTATGGAAGACGTATTGATTGATCAAAGGGACATGGGATTGGCATGGGTTACCCCTGACCATTCCCAAACCTGAGAAAAGTATGGATTTTTACGGAATGTCTATATCTTTCCCATAGATGTGGGTTTGGTATGGAACTGATGTAAGCTCCCATATCATCCCCATATTCCTTTACATAGCAATCATCCCATACCATTCCAACTGCCCATATCATCCCCAAGTATGGGAACAGAATGGATTTTAACAAAATACGTATCTTTCCCATAGACATCAGTTTGATATGGAACTGATTTAAGCTTCCATTCCACTCCCATATCATACCTTTACACAGCAATCATCCCATACCATTCCCATTGCCCTTGTCATTCCCATGTATGGCAAAAGTATGGATTTTTACGAAATACGTATCTTTCCCATAGAAAAGACAATAGAGAGTATTTGGCAACATATGGGTTCAATGTGGTGTGTAGTGTCTCATATCAAAACCATATGAAATCCATATATGGCCCATATCACTCACTTTGGTAGGGGTTCCCTTAATGGTACATGCACACGTGCTTCAATGCCTTTTACAAGTGACAATTTCCTTTCTGTCCAATTTATCAACAGCTCAGATCAAGCAACTCTGCTGCTACTGCTCGTTATTCGATAAATTTGCATTGAGCGATACGACATGTGTACGTGTAGCATGATAGCTTTTTTGACAGTGTACATTTTCCATTGTCAATTTATTCCAAGGTTTTTAAGAAAAATTTTGAATCAAATATTACTTCAGATGTTGATAAGAGCAACTTGAGGATATTTCATTGCTATATATGAGTTAATCGGCGATTCCAATTTTGAATTTCGCTCAAGGAACGAGGTAAGATGACATCTACAAGAGTTTTAAGATCATCTATTCAGTGTAATGGCTCATGTCCTTCGTGAGGATTTTATCGCTATGATCTGTCTGGATTTGAAAGGTTGTCAGGGAACTTTTGCTACCGATTAGCGAGTTAAAACGTGCATTTTTTTTTTGTACCGCTCCTTCACTTACGACGTACACACCGTCAGCTGAAGGCCTAAGACGAATGTAGCGCTATAGCATGTTGTTTCGGAAAGGCTAGTTTTACTGACTCTGGTAAATCTTGCGCAAGATATTTGCGTAATTCATATTTGATTGATAATCTTTTTTTTGCCATATGGTTGTTCTTTTAGCAGCGGTTGAAACGACCACCAAGTTACATTTACTTTCTGCGTCGACTGCCATGTTACATATCCGTTTCTTTACTTCTGAAAGTCCTCCATGACTTAAATATTGTTTAAACGATACTTTCCCGTTACAGTTGCGTGTTACTTTTTACTCGCCAGTATGGATTAGATTTTCTTAGATGAAAAGCCATTTTCCAGTAAACAACGCAAATTTTATGACAAATCTACTTCAATGAAAAATATTTCACAAGGGACAGAATGATACGGTCGGTTAATTTTCCACGCAACTCTCACGTGCGTAGACGTTTTCTACCAATAAAATTCGCTTATAGCTATCCTGGACTTTACCCCATTGCGTGCCAATTTCCTGTAAACAACCTGCATTTTATCACGTATTTCGCAAGCAAAGGGCAAAGTCCAGATAGGCAACAACCAATCAAGTAGCCCACCTTATTATCCTTTGAAGAATGATACTTTCTCTTGGTTCAATCTACTTTCAATAGTTCGAAGAATGGAGACCGGAAAATATCTTTGTCCAGAGGCTGTAAGAGATAAAATAGAGCTTTCCACTGCAAAATTATATGGACGAGTGTTCTGAGACAACCATCTGTTACTGAACAGGAAGCTACACTGAGCCTATATTTGGGCCGGATTTGTGGATCAGCGGATTGAATTGAATTGGTTCGAATTGAGGGATTTGCTGTTTTAGCAAAATCGCTGTCGAGTGCTTTTCATGGTTTGTTAACGTGGAGAGTTATGGAGACTAAGATTTCGGAACAAGTTGATGCCATCCATGACAATTTGGAGTTACTAAAATCGCCGGAGGAAAGGCGGGATCACTCAATAAAATTTGCATTTGAACGCGATGACTTTATTTACCAGGATTTCTCTTGTTTACATCTAATAACTAACCTTTGAAGTTTTTTTGCCTCGGAACGATATGTCACAGAAGGCATTTTATAGACCTCAAGTTTTTTGACTGATTGAAATTAAAGGTATGTGGCAGTGACTTCCACAAGTTTTTTTTTTAGTCAGAGAAGTACAATTGTTTTGTTCGCAATATTTATTTACGGATGGTGTCAATCGCCAATGTTTACATAAGATGGTTGTTTTAATTAATCGAATTAGACAATCGGCAAAAAATTTTTCTGTTCCCAAGGGTTGTTTTCATCAGTACGTTAACAATTGTAGTGATTCACAGTATTAGGTTTGTATA